AGTGCACATGTTCTGGTCTAGCCAGATTTGTAAGGTAGAATTGGGATCATGATAGTGGTGGGGAGGAAACATTAAAGAACTAGAGGAAAGTTGTATGTTTTATCGGTGCGATACTGCACCTGACTGGTTCGCCTCCTCCCCACAACCCTTCTGTAAAGGGATGTCCAGCTACCCACAGATGGGCTTTGGGTCTCCACTCTGCACTCACCCTTATTCACAATGATATGATTTTTTGTTCTGATGATGCCTGATACCTGATCCCTTCAACACCTCGTGATCACACAGACTGGTGTACTTCTTCCATGTGGGCTTTGTTGCTTCTCAGCTAGATGGCCACTTGGCAAACTTCTTTCTGATACACATTATGTCTATGAATTTGTTTTTCTAGTCTATCCTGACTAACACATCTACCAGGTTCTTTGAAGGAGAGAGATGAGGCTGCCTACTCTCATAAAGATTTAGTCTTGGGCGATGTGGATCAGAATGGATTTGATGGCAGTGGGTTTCTGGTTGATTGGTCATAAAAGGTGCTCTGGTGACACTGTGGTTAAAGCAGCCCAGCTGCTAACTGAAAGGCCAGCAGTTTGAACCTACCCATTGCTCAGCCGGAGAAAGATGGGGCAGTCCTTTAGAGAGTCACTCTGAGTCAGAATGGACTTAACATCAAGGGGCTTGGTTTGTTTGTTTACTGATAATAAAACACAATCACTCCTTCCTGGAGCATTTGCTAGGGAGTCTTAGGGTGGTGCAGATGGTGACATGCTGTTACCTGAAATGCTTGCAGTTTGAATCTATCCAGAGGTGTGTTGGAAGTAAAAAGGTCACAGCCATGCAAATCCTGCAGCGTAGGTCTGCTCTGAAGCAACGGAGTCCCCCTGAGTTGGGACGGATGTCACAGGAACAGACAGGGCCAAGACGTGGTGATGGAGTATGTCCTACATGCCAGGCACTGGGAAGAGGACACTGGGTCCCAATGGCGAAGGGCACTGCACATCTGGGGACTGCTGGAGTTAGAAGAGCTCCTGGGGTTCTGCTTTTTCCCAGGAGAATGAGGGAGGATGGTGGGAATTTCCTCAGTATGGTGGGGATACCCCAGGTCCTGGTTGCCTGGGTCCGCACTGTACATTCTACATAATAGGGACAGTCACAGCTTTCTAGGAGATGAAGGGCATACGTGGCATTGTGGGGGGGGGGGAGGGGGCGTACTGGAATGGGGGTCAGAGCCTTCCAATTTGCCTACCTTCCTTCGTCGCCACTTGACTGCAAACTCCCGGCTGCTAAGGAGGGCTCTGTTGGCCCTCCTGACCCCAGAGCATGGTCGGTGGCCAGCAGGCATCTGGGAAACATTGGTTGAATCTCTGAATGACCATTGTAGTAGTTGTCACAGTTCTGTTTTCCCTTTTCATCCGTGAGCTCCTGGCCAGCAAGGATCTCCTCATACTCCAAGTACATGGCTTGGCACCCGGCAGCCACTTGATAGGCATTGGTTTCAGAACGTGGGATCCAACGAGCAGATGTGGGACTTGGGCCCTTGCCCCTCCAGCCCTGCTGAACTCTCCCACTTGGGCCAAGTGGTCGGACCAGGGGAGCCCTTTGAGAAATCAGCAGCCTCTTCAAGCAGCTCTACCTTGTCCTTCTTTGATTTAGGCTTCTGGAGTTCCTGCTGGGAGGCAGGGAGGTGCTACGAGAGAAGACTCAGATTTCCTGTGAGTGCTGGATGGATACTCACAAGCGGTGGTGACCCAGGGCCATTTATTGAAGTTCATGGGGCTTTTCCTCCTTCATCTGCAAAATGGGGATCACAATAGTACCTGTAGCAGAAGGCGCTACCGTGGGCCAAGCAAGTTAATGGAATGACAAAGAATGGGTCAGCAGAGGGCCGAGGTTTTAAGATAAGATAAGATCCCCTCCACCGCCACCTGAGCTGTCAAATGCCTCCACAGCAGCTGCTTTGATGGGGCAGACCAGAGTGGGAGATAAAAGCCCTCAAGCTTCTCTGATCTGTTTACTATTCTGAAGATTGACTGATACCCACCAGAAGGTTTCCCCCTCTGCGGGCCTTCCAGTTCCTTGGTGAGAGGGCAAGTGTAATACTGAGAAGACTCTTCAGTCTCAAAACCCTCACCAGGTTCCAAACCCATCCCCTCTGTTTCTCACCCGCGGCTGCTGCTTCTGCCCTTTGAGAAATCCAGGGGCAAAGGAGAAAGAGGGTTTAATGACGCCCTGCAACTAGCCAGAAGCTGGAGTCTAGGCGTCAAGACTGACTCCTGACTCCTGTGGAGGGTCTTCCGGCCTCTCTCCCACCCAGTGGAGAGGCCAGCGAGAGACAGCCACCCTTGAAGGCCCTCCACATTTTTAAACTCAGAAGGAGTCTTGATTCTGTGGTAGACCTGCTCCGTGTACGCAGTGGGGGCAGCGGGTGGCTGAGCTAAGGTGGGGGGGACCTGGGGCGGGCAGACTTGCTGTTGCATGGTTCCACACCTTCTCGTCCCTATCTTGGCCACTGCTTGGGCTGCATCCATCAGCTGACACCAGATGCCAGATCCCGGAGCTGCGGGATGGAGACAGCAGGCTCTCTCCCAGTGACACAGCCCAGACCCAGGCTCCTTGTCAGTTGAGCTTGTGGTGTGGTCAGGCCTCATCAAAGGCCGTGGGCATTCTGGGCAGGCTCCTTTGGAGTCTGCTCTTTATTCTGCTGTCTGCCCCTGCAGCCATGCCTGGAACCTGTCTGACCCTGGCACAGTGTGCCCACCAGTCTCTAGCCTCCTGACAAGTGCTTGCTTCCCTTCTCCTGGGCGCTTGCCATAGTTGCAAAGCTCCAGATTGGGCAGGCCACTTGATCCCTGGGGAAACACTTAAGAACAAGGACGGGATTGTCCCACTGACGGCCTTGCCTCCCTGATTGTGTGCACTGGATCCTGAGCAGTTGGGAGGAAGATGTGCTTGTGAAACAAGCCTAGAACCAAGGCAGTGGAGAGTATGTGGTGCAGAGCTGGGAGACTTCTTTTTGAGTTTCTAGGATACTGTCATTCGCGTACCCATCCAGGGCCTCTTTTTTCTCACCTGGAAGATGGAGATCGTAGTACTTACCTCCTCTTGGGGATGGAGGGCAGTGAAGATGGCACCACGCCCACCTTTTTGAGGACTAAATGCTTTATGTGCATCTTCTCATTCAATGCTCACAACTCCATAAATCAGGGGAACCAAGGCACCGAGTAGTCTGTAGACTGTCCAGGGTGCTGAGAGGGTGAAATGGGTGAGTGGGGCCAGGGGATTGGAACCAGTTGCTGGTATCTTCCTTCCAAGGGGGTGTCAGTTCTCCAGCTTCTTAGAGGGGAGAGAAGCAGGAACAGGGCCAAGAGGGGCAGGGTGTTGGAGGAGGGCGTGGCAGAGAGAGCCTGTTCTCCTGGAGGTTGGCAGGTGAGTGAAGCTAGAGCCAAGTTGAGACTAGGCAGGGAGCAGGCCTGGGAAAGCCCACCCAGGCCTTAGGGCTCAGTCTCAAATTGCAGGTGTGGTGGAAAATGGAAAGCCAGAGGAGAATCCTTTAGGGGTTGGACTCTATGATCTCAGTTCATTTTCCCCTTGCCTACATTTCTTTTGAGCAGTGGTTCTGAACCTTCCTAATGCCACGACCCTTTGATACCGTTCCTCATGTTGTAGTGATTCCTCCCCCAACCATAAAATTATTTTTGTTGCTACTTCAGAACTGTAATTTTTTTAGTTATGAATCCGGCGACCCCTGTGAAAGGGTCATTTGACCCACAAAGGGGTCGTGACCCACAGGTTGAGAAGCGCTGCCTTTGAGTAATGTCCTGTGTGTGTCCTAAGGGGAGGCAGGTTTGAAGGAGAAAGGGGCAGAGGCTGAAGACAGGAGAGAGGGATAGTTGCATAGGTGGGTCCTAGAGGGGAGAGGGCTGGGGTGGGAACAGCCCTTCTCCTACCCTACGATGGGCTCAGCTCTGCTGGGGATCTGGAAGGGTGACCGGAAAGATACCACATAGGGCAGCACCTCCCCTCCGGCCACTCCTCTTATCCTGTCCTTAGATTCGGAACTTACTCCCCTCCCCACCCTCTTGGTACGTGTCAAATGGCCTTTATTTGTTAATCACTTACTCAATAAACATCTATCCAGCTCCCTCAGGCTTTGCACAGAAGGCAGACCTGCAGAGCACTGACAAGCGTAGCAAGGGCTGCTGACCCAGACGCCAACATGGGTGAGTTCCCAGAGGGGGACCTGGGAGCAGACAGCCAGGATGAATTCTGGAGTTATACTGGTCAGGCGAAGTAGAGAAAGACCAGACACTGGTGCTTTGGTCAGGCTATTTAACCCCCGTGACTCAAGTACTCTCCCCTCTATAAACACAGCACCTCTCTGTCTTACTGAAAGCCCCTGAAAATGGCAGACAGGGTGCCTGATTAATGGCGCTATCTTGTGCAGGGTTGGTGTGCATGTATGGACGCGAGCAGGTGAACAGGAGTTTGATTATACAGGGTCCTTTAAGTCAGGGCTGTGAAAAGGAGACAATGGAGCACAAAGCTTCATTCTAGACTTGTCCACTGTGATAAAGGCTCATCTTTCCCCCAAGACATCCTCCTCACAGTCAATGTTGTACTGCCATCACTGTTTCCAGAACGTTCTCATCAACAGGCACCCAGGGCCATCAGAACTCACTTCTGCTTTATGAATGGGGCTGTGGGCCATTTCATGAGATGGAAGGAGAAAGGTGGCCGTCATGCTGACTTTGCCACACCCAGCAAACCCTCACAGCCGTCAGGTAGGAAGGAACTCCCCCAACTTGTCTTTGGATTCGGGTTCCCTCTAGCTCGCCTAGGAAACTGCCAGTACCTCCTGGCCTAGAGCCCCAACCGTCCCCATCGCTGTCAGAACCCGTGGGCAAGAAGCGCGGCGTGCACAGGGCACACCGAGCTGGCCCTGCCTGGAGTCTTCTCTGCCCGACCACTCTTGCTCATTGATGAACAAAACCAACTCTCAGCAAACATTACTTAAAATTTTTTTTATTTAACTTTAATTTCTGAGGTAAAATACTTTTTTTTTCTTTCAACTTCCATAACAAAATACAAGCTATCAGATACCCCTGGAAAAATATGTATATTATACATATATTTCTATAACATTACATCATATATATAATATATATATGCAAAAATTGAAGACTTTATAGAAAGTAGAACATCTAAAAGGCACTGCACAATGAAGCTTACTTACATTTTATGTACACATACACACTTTATTCTGCTTAGGCGGATAATGAAGTCATCTTTCACATGTGGATGGGTCACAAATCCCTGCATCACAATGTTTTAACTAAGAATGCCTAAGTATTTCAGAACAAATGAAGTGGTAACTCACCTTCCACCCCCTGCCCGCAAGTAAACTGAAAGGAAAAAAAAATGCAACAGTTCTGGAAAAGACTGGATCAAAGTTTTCTCTTTTAAGAATAAAAATGTATGTTCTATTACTGTTTTCAAAACGTAAAGCACAAACATAATCATGGAATAAATAAAAAGCAAGGGACACACAGCCAAGTGGCTCCCTATACTTGGTGAGAAGTGACAAGCTTCAACTTCTTTTAATGCTTCTGAAGGTTTCTGGCCCGCAGAGGACTCGGGTGCAGCAATTGTTAGTTATTAGGGAGCTGGGTTTAATGCAATGCAGCTTCAAAACTGGAACCTGAATTGGCTAAATCAACTTTTTTTAAAGGGGAGTGAGCTCAGCAAGGCTGGACGCCTCCATTTTCCCCTCTCAGAGCAAAAACAGCACTGTTTACATGTTTTTAACTGCTAAAATTTAAATAGATTTTTAGTTGCAAGGTTTTTAATATTTGGCACAGCAAAGTTTAGGGGAAAGGGTGGGGGGGCAGGGGAAGAGTTAATAGGACCGTGGCCCCCTGCCCCTTCCCACCTGCGATTGGGCAGTGATAAGATGCACGACAAGAGAAAGGTCTGGCTTTGTGCCCGGCTGGTGACAGGCGCTGCCAGGAGGATGGGGATGAGACACTACCTTCCACTTCTCTCATCAGGACACAGCACGGCCACCATATTCCCCATCCACTTTCTGAGCAAGCACAAGCTGGGCTCCGTGTGAGGACCTCCTCCCACCCCAGCGTGCAGTGCAGACCAACCAACGATTTATTAGTTGAATGGCAATCAAAGGAAACAAACACCAGATCAAGTTCTTAAAAAACACACTTTCCATGGAACTGAACATTTTGAGTGTATGTATTTCTCTTCAAGTGTAAAAGGATGACTTTTTGTTCAAACAGAAGCAGCATCTAGGAATTAATTCTGGCACTTGGGTTCTAGGGGTTACACGTATGCATTGTGAAGTTTTCTTCCTCTCTTATATTAAAGGCCTCATGTTTTCTATTCCTGAGTTCATACACCTGCTGGCCCTCCCCGCTCTAGGGGACAGAGGGTGGCCAGCGGAGCCTCCCTGGTTAAATCGGGCAATGCCAAAGCAGAGATCCCTCCTCCACCTGCCTGGGCTTGCTTTCTGATTCAGAGGTAAGTCACGGTGCAGAGCGCAAATGGCAAAAAACCACAGCCACCAAAGGCAGCCTGAAAGGCTGAGTTACTTTTCTGAGGAAAGGCAAGTCACACTCCTGGGATTTGACTCCAACAAGGGGGAGGCCACTTCCAAGTAATGGCATGATGGGTTTACACCATCCCAGGCCATCTAATGATTTACCTGCTCTAACCTTTCCTTTGCTCCTCTCACATGTAGCAGTACAGTTAAAAAAGAAAACAATGTACCCTACCGTTGAAAGACAACTTTCCAATACATCTTTGCATACAGAGTTCACCGAGGCTAAGGCAGAGCCAGGAATGTCTCTAATTCCTTGACCCCGGCCCTGAACCGGACTGAAGGGTCACTTTCCCTCGTGCGGCTGTCAGGCTAATCTGAGCCGTAGTCTACACAGACAGGCTGCTTCTTCCTTTCCTTTGCCTCCAGCCCAGGCCTCTTTTGCTTCATGTGGGATCAGTACTTTCCCGTCCCTTTGAAGTTGTGGGAAGGAAATTCCCTGTGAAGAAACAAGGCCTCAATGTGTACTCTGGACTTTCATGTAGAACAGTCAACTGATCATGAGAATACAAACCACCTAGAGTTATGGGTATGCCAAGAACAGCAACACAACACAGAGATCCACTCTTCCAGTCCACATCTGGCTGTCTCCCATGGCTTCTATCCATCTCTTCCTTCAGATCCAAGAACTCTCTTTGCACCCAACGCCTGTGTATTGTTATCAATCACCTGCCCAGCAAACCCCATAATCCAGCCTGCTACCCAGCCCAGTAACATCAAGAGGGAACGACTATCTACCAGCTAGACAGTTAACCATGCCTCGACATTCCTCAGTTATCTGAAAAGTTGTCTGTGCCCTTCTTACAGGTTGATGCCGACAGACCCGTATCACATAAACAATGTTCATAGTTAAGGCTCGACTTAAGAAAATGACGAGAAGCAGACGTAATGGAAAGGTATTTCCAACAACACTGCCGTGCCTCCCAATGAGCTTGCTCACACTCGGACTTTGGAAAAGGGAAAGTTGCAGGTCTTTTGTTTTGTTTTTAAAGGCATTGGGCTACTTTCCTCCTGCCCTCTTCTTTCTTCCCTGAACAAGAGTTTACAACTCCTCATGGCTTCTGTGATAGGTGACAGTCCATGAAACGCAGCGGCTCAGAGACGGACAGCTCCTGTGCCTTCTCAGTCCCACTCTAATTGGCATTAAGTTTCATGCTTCCTGAAAAGTTTTTGTTGTTGTTAAAAAAAGGAAAAGGAAAAAATGCCAATCAATGACAACAAAGGAGAGGAAAAAAGCAACATCTGAACCACTTCTCCCTCCCTCCAAGTTAAGACTGAGATGATCTTATTCCTCCTCTGAAAAAAATTATAAAGAAACATTCCAGGCAAATACTTATTAATGGCCTTCCGCTGCTCAACCTCCCAACCATGCCCCCTTCCCTTTGACGTATGTCTCTCAGAGCAAAAAGAGAAATAGAAATTCATCAATGGCTTTCCATATATAAATATTATAGAAAAAACCCAACGCCTGGAGCCTGAACTACCACAGGACCAGGAAGTATCTTGGCCCGTTGAGAGTTTCCTTGTCAGAAAGTGTAGGCCTCAACTGGAAATGGAGGCTCCTCCTCCTTTCAGTCAAATACCCTCCATGTCGTACTCACCAGGAAAAAAGTGTGTTCATATCCCACCTAATTTACAACACAAGAAATCCCCATCCCATCCCCCAAACATAAAAATACACGTCTATGCCCCTAGAATGATCAAACCAGTCTAATCCCCTCCCTCCCTCCCTCCCTCCCTCCCACCCCACCCCGAAATCTTGCTACATAAATACATGTATGTATTTGATTATAGTATAAACAACTTCCAATGCACTTCCAGTTCTAAGCGTCAGCGGCGGCTGCTGCCAAGCCCCGGGGTCCTGAGCCGTTCCAGGGGAACGTGCCATTCTTACTCAGCTCTCGGGCTTCTGGGCCATCGTTCCAGCGCCGCTTCAGGCGGAGCTTGGGGGGCATCAGGGCGTCTTCTCTCTTCTCAGGTGCGCTGGGCTCTTTGCCAGGCCTGTCCTCACTGTCTTCAGTCACTCCTAGGGGTTCTTCACTTGGGGTGCTAACAGGCACAGAGGGCCAGGCGGGCGGTGCAGTCGGGCGGGCAAAGATGGCACCCTTCTCCTCGTCCATGGTCCTGCCCAGCACAGCGCCCTCCTCCTGAGTGCGACTCTCCTCTCGGGCAGACTGCCGGAGACTTTCTGGATCCTTCTCGGAAGCAGGTTCCATCTTAATTCTTGGGGGGATGGGGATTGAGGTGGGAGCACTGACAGGTGCAGGCTCCTCACTGCTTTCGACCCTCTCCCGGTTCTTCCGCCCAACTGGTGGAGGCTGCAGCTTGATGGAAAACTGGGTGGACTCCTCAGGGTGCATTTGGCACTGCAGGGGCGGAACCATGAGCCCTGGGTAACGGGGGAAAGTCCGGGGACTCAGGTGGTAGTTGAACACAGAACAGGCTTGTGAATGAAGGTAGTGTTTCATTTCCTCAGGGTTGAAGGAGAAGCAGCTGCTGCTGGTGAAGGGGCTCAGGCCTGGTGATGGGCTATAGGAGAAGATGGTGGGCGTTAGAGAGAGGGCTGGTGAAATGGGGACATTAAGGACACCTCCACGGCCAGCGATCGGAGAGACAGCGAAGGGGCTGTGGGGGTCAGGGTACATCCCCGGCCTAGAGAACAGAGGAAGCATGATGTCAGGCTTGCGCTTCTGATGGCCAATCCCTCCGCCGCCAACAGCATTCCGGGAAGACATGAGATCCACGGTGCGACGCCAGTCAGTGGCTGAACCGTCCTCCAGCTCCGAAAGCTCCACCTTCCTGTCAGGGCCGTCACTCAAAGACTCTTGGGCAGAAGGCGTTAGGGAGCTAGTAGAGAAGCGGCCATGCTGCACATCACCAGTTGGTGAATGGGAGTCCAGGGGCGGGAAATGGAAGCGGGAGGAGGCTGTTGGCACTGGTGGAGCACTCTGGGGGACCACACCTGTGATGGCGGAAAGGACAAAAGGCTGCATCAGAGGTCTGGCCACTCATTGCCCTCATCTTGACTTATGCGACGTAGGTGCACACTGTTTAGTAGCAACAGGAAACCAGTATTCCAGGCAGAATGCACCCCCCAATTCTCTATCTTCCTAGCAACAAATGCTCAGGTTCCTCTACTCAGTTTCGTGGCCACCTTTCCTTTCTTTAGCCTCTTGCTCCTTTTATTGTCTTCAGAGTCCTCAGACCTACTTATTTATCTAGAGTCTGAAATATAAATTCCACCAGGGCAGAGGCTTACTCTTGTTAACTGGATTCTGAACAGTCCAGAGCATAATAATTAGGTGCTCAATAAACATTAGCTGAACGAATAAAGGGCTTTTTAAAAAAGCCTTCTGTCTTCCACTTTACACCTTTAATTACTCATTTCATTTGCAGCTTTTAGCTTTGCAAATAGTCTTCCTTGTTTTTAGAATTTTGGCTATTTTTATAATGTCAGTGCAACAAAATACCCAAAGATCTAATATAAGATCACATATAACACATGAACAAGCCCAAATTTTAGTAAAAACAGATTTAAAATACCCCTGAAAATAAAAACAAAAATTTGTATGACAGTTGTTAACACTGTATGACATATCTTTTTTTCGTTTCTGGCATACAGCTCTAACTTGAAGATTCGAATAAAAAACACTTTTGAAGCCCTCCAAATCTATGTTCTTCAAACAAATGATATATGATGATCTCCATTCCCATCCTGTTTCTAAGCAATGAAGAGGTGGGGAGAAAATCCAGGATGTGCAGCGACCTTGCCCGAATTTGTATGCTAACATTTAAGCACGTCAACCTCAGGGGCTCACAGGTTTTCAACTTGCCCCAAAGGCCCTTCTGACAAAAAAGGTAGGAGAAAGGTTTGTTATCCAACACCTCAGGGGGATCATGGGAGGTGTGGGCACATCTTCTATCACTGACACACTGAGTCAGCTATGGGAGAAGAAAAAAGCCCCAAGTAATGTCTAGAAATCTAGGAGGAAACAAAAATGGTGCATATGCCATGGTGTGGTTGGGAATGGCTCCCAATCAACGGCTTCCCCCGCTCCCCAGTGGAATGGAACCATCCTGAGATATGATGGCGGGCTGGGCTGGTATGTGTAAGACGGTGGCTTTTAGGCACATGGGACAGAGGACCTTGTGCCACAGCAGCATTTCCCAGACTAGTGTTCTGAAGAAAAATGCTCTGCAGTACCTATGGAATTCTTTCCTTTATAACACGGCAAAAAAGCACACACAACACTTCCAAAGGTTTTCCTGAAAGGATGTGGGGGTGGAGGATCATGTACCCTAACCACCTGAGGAATGCTGGGGTTAACAGCAGTTGTTTCTTTCTGGATTAGTGTTTCTCAGCTTTCACTCATGCTCAGGTGCAAACTCATTAATCAAGGTAAATCTGCAAAGAGGAGATAGAATATGAAGCGCCCCCCCAAGTGTATGTGGAGTAGTAACAGAGGAAGGCGAGATGTAGGAGCAATGTGGGGAAGGTAGAACTCTGGTCCCCTAACCTCTCATTAACTGGGGTAGCCTTACTTTTATTGCATTTGTCGAGCTATCAAATTTAAGGTTTTATTTCTGGGCCCAATTTTTCACTGCTGAAAAAACACCTGAATACCACTGCTTTGGAGAAGCCCACCTCCAAGGAGCTATCATAAAACATGAGAACAGTTAGAAACCCGGGGTTTGAATCTCAGTTCTGGCACTTTCCCTCTGGTGGCCCATTACATAAGCCACAAATGGGAGCCTTTCCTCTCTGGCTTAATAGAAGCAAACAATGACTTTGTGTAGGTTTACAACCCTGGCCCCAAACTCATTAACTGCGGGACTCTGGACAACTACTTCTCAAACGCATCTGTTTCCTTATATGAAAATGGGAATAACAAGAACAACTGTTACACAATGAGCCCTAAAGCAGATTTTAATAAGTATTTGTTAAAATAAAGGAATATTTAGTAAATAAGAATATTCATGGTTCACAAATAAAAATTTAATCAGGTGGGAGAGGATGCCATTTGATTATTGATTCTATATTATTAGAACAATGTTAAACTTCTTGTGTGATAAAGGTGTTGTGGCTACAGAGGAGAATGTCCTTGCTCTCAGTAGCTACATGCTCAAGTACACAGGGCGGGACTGTCATATGTCTGCAACTTAATCTCCAAAGATTAAAAGAGTACATGTAAGTTAGAAAGAGTTAAAGTGGTGAAATATGGTGAAAATGTTAACAGTTGATGAATTCAGAAAGTCACTTTGCCTGCCCCCCTCCCCCCCCAATTTCTCTGAAGGTGGGTTTGAAGCTTTAAAACAAAAGAAAAACCACAAGGGAAGCCTGAGAGTGAGAGGCCTCGGGCTCGTCCTTGCCCTGCTGTTCTGCCTCCATCCTGACCAAGTAAGCATTTCACCAGCACCATCTAGTTTCCCAATGTTTCTTAGCACAAACATTAAGTGAACATTCAAGTATATATTTAAGAATATATTTTATAGGATTCTTTTAAGGATAAAATGAGGTGCTATAAATAGAAGTGCTTTCAACACTACACTATCCAAATGTTAGTAATCTAGCCCAAACAGTGAGAAGGATTAGAGGGGAAGAGAAAGAATATAAACATCTGTGTTTCTTGGGTATACTACAATCAGCAAGCATTGTTTTCATTTAAAACACTGCATCTCTCTAGAGCCTCTGGCCCCCAGGACCTCAATCTACACAGCACCATTCCTTAGTGTTTATCAGTCCCTTATTGTAGTAAACCATGTATATCTAATCTTTCCTGTTCAACTCAAGTTTTTTGAAGGAAAGAAATCCAAAATCTTTGTCTCTATCTCTCAGTTTTAACTCATCCACTGGACAAAGGACTCTCTGGGAGGAACATCCCATCTGCTCAACACAAGTTAGATCTCTACAGCTAAATCTCAGGGACGGTGGCCTAAGAAACTACTCAATAGATAACTGTATTCACTCCACCTTGATCAATCTTTTACTTCACCCTCCTCCAACCCTAATTTTATCATTTGTGAAATGTAGTTATCAAGACAAATTTCTACAGGGCTGGGGTGTTGAATGGTTATCTCCCTCGGGGCAGTAAAAGTTACATTCTTTTGCATTCATAAACTTTCACCTAAATCCTAACAAACCAACCCTGGCCTAAACAAAACAAAACAACAATTGGCTTAGCTGGACAGAAGTCCTCTATGATAATAATGGATCCAGTTCTGTATAGTTATCTGTTTGGGATGTAAACAACCAAAGAGTATGCCCAAAAGAAATATAAACTGCTCCTCCTTCCCTTTGACTTTTTGATTAAAATCTTGAGCTGAGTTAAAGATCAAAGTCAGTTCAGCAGCCTTCAGGACCTATGGGCTGCATTGGCCTCTACTGTTGCTAAACTTCTACACTGAGTCATGAGAGTGAGGATCCAGATTTCACTGCTCTTAAAAAGCACTTGACTTTTTTAGTAACCATTTCATTGGGGGGGGGCTCTTACAAATTTTATTAACAATCCATCATTCAATAATACTAAGCACACTTGTACATGTTGCTATCAAGCAGAAACAAATTGTTTTGGAAATGTTGACAGCACTTGACTCTAAGTGAGGATGGATGTCCCATTACAGGTTGTCCAAGAGCCTGGACAGCTACCTAGGCTTTGATAGACACAAATGGGCTAAAGACAGAAGATGACGTTGAATGAGGCGCTTTACTGGGGTGTGCGCTCGTGCTGTGTAGAACAGATACATTCAACATTGCTGGCACATCCATCTAGAATCCAATCTCAATCCCAATCCCTCTCCCAGGTAAGTGAGGGGGTGGCAAGAGTGAGAAATAGAGGAAACAAGATTCCAGTGGCTAGAACAGGTTTGATTTCCTAACGCCTCTCCCCCAGGCACAAGGAAAGAAAACAGGTTGTAATTAGAGAGACGCATTCCAATACCATTTTTTTTAAATGCATGCCCCAGGGACAGGAGGGAGTGGCCACAGAAGGAAAGATGGAACTGCAATGATAGCAGAGTCAAGCCAAAACTGCCCTAACTTGTTGTGTAGTAATTACATATCCACCATAGATCTCGCATTATATTCTCTCAGCCACACCCCCTCTAATTTTTCAGGTTTCTTTCAATTTCTCTCTGAGAAGTTGTATTCTGCAGAATCAGGTTGGACTGTTTCTTTGCTTAACACACACTGTAACAAAAGCAGTGTGTTAACAGATTGGTCAGGACAGTTAAACACAACCCTTTCTTTTGCCGGGGGTGGGGAGGTGGGGCTGACTCACATTAAAAAATCACAAACAGCCTTCTAAGGCAGTCTAAGAGACTACCATCAGGAGACAGACATAAAACCTTTCTGAAGAGCTGCACCGGAAAGCAGAAGCAAGCAAGTTGGGGGGAGTGGGGGTGGGGGTGTCCCTGTTGTGTTTGGGGAGAGGTCATGTAACCCCAGAGCCTTGTTCTCTGAGGACTCATTGGTACAGATCAAAGAAAAGACGTTGCTAAAAAAAAAAAAGGCATTGCTTTTCACAGCAAACATATGAAGCTCCTTTCTCCGATCAAGGATGCTGTGGTTTTGATGATATTCACTTGATAAGAGAGTTGCTAGTTTCATAGAAAATCGGAAGTGTTTGTGGAAACAGGCTCTCCTGTATGAAAGGAGTCACTGGGCGGGGTGTTCGCACTGAATCCCCAGTGTCAAGATCAACACAGACCTATGGAACAGCATTTTCCAAGAGGAGAGTGAAATGCTATCTGAGAGATGAACATACATAAACCCACTGCCATCACCTTACCGGACAGAGCAGAACTGCTCTCCAGGGTTTCCAAGACTGTGAGTCTCTACCAGAGCTTTAACTTTCTCCTGCAGAACTGACCCCCAGGCTAGCAGGCCAAAGCTTAATCCACTGTACCACCAGGGCACCAATATGCAGAAAAGGAAACCCAGTAAACAAACAAATGTATCTTGGTAAGTTACCTCAATAGCTTATTACTCCCCTTTTAGGACATGAATGGAAACCTGAGCAAAAACACTGCGGCAACTCAAGAGATCAATTACGTATCTGTTTCTAAAATCCTCTTAAACATACTGCCCTTTGGCTTGGGTTTCCAAGATTTCCTTATCCCTCACCAAAATTCATCCCTCACCAAGACAGTTTGCATCTTACCACTGGATCGAATGTTGATGAATGGGTAGTTGGGCATCACCAGCTTGTTGAAGTTAAATTTATAAGTAAACCTTTTCCCTTTTGTTTTATGAAGGATCCTCTTGTTGTAATAGTATCTGTAAAAAGAGGAACGTGTGTTAATTCATCTTTTGGTTATCAAGTTTTTGATACATATAGGTAGCCACTAAGACCAGCACAAACACCACTATCATTCTTTTGCTGCCTGACCCGTAGGTTCCGACTGGGAGATCTATGAGCTTGCTTTTCCCAGCCAATTTTCAGTTAAGTTTGGCTAGAGTTCTACAAAATATCTATCACCTATGCCAGATCCAATCACCTTTCTTCTCCACTGTGCTACAATTTCAATTCTATAATCCATTTCCTTCCTGTTCTCACTGTATGTCACTTACTGCTGAGTTTCTCTTTCCTGCTTTGCCCAAGAGGGGCAAACAAATCTCTTGGAAGACCCGATGTGATTAGTCTTGAGGCCTACGCTCAAGGCACAGACAAAGGAATGTAGGAGTGTTTTATGGTGGCAGGTCAGACAATAGTATACACTGGTCTGGAAAATAACAACCAGCTAGGCTTGCTTCACCTTCAAAGACTCAAAGGGACGTAAGCCCACAACTTTATTTTATACCCAGGGTGTTGAAGAAAGGCAGGGAAATGTCAAGGTTAACTGGATTCTTTAACTCCTAGCTCTTTAGCAGTGCAGGTCACAGATGACCTTCTACCTTCCAGGGGCCAAAGGATATAAGATGTAAAGACTTTGACAAGGGAGAAAGAGAAATGGAGAAAGCAGATAACCATCAATCACTATACATATTGGAGGGCGACAATCAAGGAATCTATGGACTGATAGATGTCGTTCAGACATAGTTCCTGAACAGCTAAGCAATTGCCATTCTGTGAGCCAACTCTCAGATCTCCTCCTGTGTGTTTCCTTCACCCTTCTAGTTTCTTCCAGGGAGCCTAAAGCCTAAAGAACAGAAATTCTGGAAGCCGGCACCAATAATCCTTTAGATTATAAATGAGCTCCAATCCATGTTTTACCTTCACTCTCGCCCACTACAAAGGAGAATCGGCTGTCTGTCAGGATCCATTTCCATGTTGGAAATCCCTCCCACAGAGAACCAAAGATAGGCCTTGTCTTCTTCTATGCCTGTGCCACTTAGATCCAACAGCTCTTCGATTCCCACTGGAAAGCTACACGTTATTCCCTTAGATAGCATGGTCTCTTATCGCCCGATACACTTTTAATCTAACCTTCAGGAAAATGTTTAGTTAGTCTCCTGCCAATCTGCTAACACCAAGAATACGAGGATTCTTTCCCTTACCTGAGGGCCCGGCTCAGCTTGTCATAGTTCATCTGTGGTTTGCACTTCCTGCGGCCCCAGAGGCGGGCCACCTCGTCTGGGTCCTTGATGACAAACTCCCCGTACTCTCCCTGCTGCCAGGCGATGACATGGCGGAACTCTTCCTTCTGGAGCAGCTCCAGGATGAAGTGCCACAGCTGGATCTGCCGGGAGCCTGGGGACGACTCGGTTTTGTAGGCCCAGTCAGGAAACTGATATCCTTTAATTTGTGAAAAGGGCAAGTTTAAGGTAGTCGGGAGCTAGGTACAAACATACTAGCACCCCTGTCTTCACATTCCATTGCTCAGAATCTCTCGAGAGCTTTGCAAACATGCCATCAACACTTTCTCAGTCAGCTTGGGCTAACCACAACAGGGGCGAGGAAAGCACAAGTAAGTTACCCATTCTAGTGGCAGTTGTTCAATCTGATAGCGCAGAGCAGAAACACCAGGTGTCCTATCCATTCTCACACCCTTTCACGTGCTACTGAGGCCCACACCTACTTTCTATGAGGGCGTGAAAGTTCCAAAAGGGAACATGTGAAAAAGGGAAATTTAGTGTTTCAGGATAATAAAGCTGAATTTTGCCCCCAAATTGGAATTGTGGCTTGAATTGGAAAGACTTTAGAGTTTGGCACAAAGGCATGTAGAGCAGACATAATAAATATATTATCCATAGGAACCCAAGTCTACAAATGTCCTAGCTGTATCCCATCCAACAAGCATGAGGTTGTCAGTCACGGCTTGGCACTGGTGAACAGAGCCCAAGTGCCTCAGGGGAATGGGAACCACTAAGGAATATTCTAGGCAGATCAGAGATTATTAACTTCTGCTCACCTCCACCTCCTTCTGGCTTTTCCACGATGCTACAGCCTGCTTTCATTTTCACCCGCCTGCTGAAAGACACAAGCCATCAAAATGATTTCAAGATGCTATTTACTAACCACCCAGGGTTTTCTGGTAGTCTTTCCCTACCTTTCCTTCATTATGCAACCCTCTCTTTCAAACATGTCACCTTCAAACTGCTAATCCCCAAATCATCAAATGATGGTCCTCAGGTCATCGCCTTTAAAAGCCATAATTATCTCTCACCTGACTTTAAACCACGAACTATAAACACTGTCTTTAATATTTGCTTTCTTCCGCCTGACCAGCCCTTCAAACGTAAAAAAAAAGGAAGGCTACAGTGAAAACGGGTCCAAAAAGGCAGCCAAAACAAGTCAAACAGTTTGTCTTCTATTACTAGACAGGCCCAGATGCCAAGATACACAAGCCTGAGTTCACTCAGATGTACCAGTTTTACAAAAAAAAAAGGGGGGGGTGCCTGTGTGAGGGGAAGATCCAAATCCATCTGATTCCCACCCAAGAATGAACATCTGATTTTATTTTACGGAATTATGTGAGCCCGGAGAAGAAAAACTCCTCCCCATCAGAAAGTGGCTCCCCCTCCCCCTTGAAAAATACCCTGGGATACAGGATGTAAACACACCTCATGTACAGTCACTCTATACTAGAAACACACATACACAGGCCCAAAATCTTTTGTAGGGGAAAAAAGAAAAAAAGATACTCTCACTTGTAACAAAATGTGTTGTGTGTGGGGGCAGAAGGAGCAGGCATTTCACAGTCTTCTGACTAAAGAAATGGCCGGAATCTTCCTGCAATCTGAATTGATTTCAGCCAGATTTACAACTCCTCAATAAATTTCCTGTTCCCCGCAGCGAACAACTCTGTGCCGCCCCCCCAAAAAAAAAAAAAAGAGGGAGGAGGGAAGCAGACCTCCCCTCAGAATTCCACAGGACTGGGGCCAGGCTCTCAGCACCCGCATCGGCCGGCTGGAGTCTGGTGGGAACAAGTAGGTGCTTCAGCAGCCCCAGGGTGGGGTGCAGAAAAGCGCAGGAAAATTCTTAATCGTCACAAATTTCATCTAATCTAGGATTCTTTTTGATCGTTTGCCACCCCCGCCCCCACCCCCCATTCATACACGTGAAGGAGATCGGCGAGAGGTTTCGGTCTCGTAAAGCCACAGGGGGTAGGGGAGGCCGAGATACGTATCCCAAAGGAATGAAAACAAACACACACACGCCACACAATAACAAGGCAGGCGCTTCCTCTGCGGCTGCTCCCATTTCAGTGACAATGAAGGAGGAAAACACCAATTTCCCCACGGCTCCAGGAAGCGGCCCAGGGCTCTGGACTCCACGGCGGCTCCGTGGGACCGCCCGGCCCGTGCCACCCCCCCAGGCATGCCCTTCAACCACCAAGGCTCCGTCTGGGCTGCAAACGCCGCCACTACAAGCTGCCCAGGAACCCCCTAACAGCCCGGCGCCCCGGTTCCTCCACACAGGCCCCCTCCCCCAGCCCCCCGCCGGCGCCAGGGCAAGCCGATCACAGCTTCACTCCGAGGCCACAGGGTCCCAGAGGGGCCACTCGCCTCAACTCCGCAAACTCCAGGCTCCCGGCCCGCCTTCAGAGCGCGACCCGGCCCCGCACACTGGGGAGCCGCGGTCTCCGCCTCGCCGCCGGGTCCCAGCCCACGCTGCCCTCATCGTCTCTTCGCCGCTGGCCGGCCGGGGCGCCCCCACGCCCTGGCCCAGGCGCTCCGCGGGGCCGCGGCACCCACGCAGCCCTGGGTCCCCGTCGACCCTCAGCCGGGGGCCCCCCTTCCTTCCTCCGCCCCTCGCGCCGGGTGAGGCCCGGCTGGCAGGGTTCCCGGTCGGAGGAAGGTCCAGACCTCCGCGACACCGACCTCACCGCGGTCAGCGAGGCCGGTCCGGAGGGGCCGCGCAGGGGCGGCGAGACGGGCACTCACCTCTCCCCAGCACGGTCCGTCTCGGGTCCGCTCTCCTCCGCGGCGTCTCCGGCTCCTCCTCATCCACCCCAGCAGGAAGTGACCTCTCGGGCTGCTTTCGTCACTTCCATCCCCAGCAGAGAGGGCGGGGCAGGAGGCGGGGTCTTCCCGCGGGTCTCCCAGCCCGGCCGCGCCGGCGCCGCCCCCAGCGGCGTCTCCCTTTCCTTTCTCCTTTCCCGACTTCCGCCCGCACGCCGCCCCCAGCGCGCGCGCCTCCCGAGACGCAGCCCGTGCGTCCGCCCCGGCGCGGCGCGCGCGTCACGCCGCGGGGGCACGTGACGCACGCTCGCGGCCCGCGGCCGCGCGGGGCTCCTGAAAGGGGGTCGGCAGGCCCCGGGGAGTGACGCAGAGCGAGGGGCGCCTGGCTCCGCGTGGCGCGCGCGTGCTTCGGCTCCCTGCCAGCGCGGCGCGGGCGGCGGAGCTCGGGCTGCGCAACGGGCCGCTGCGCCCTGGGTCCCGTCTGTCGCGGGAAGGGACCCCGGGTGCCTCCCAGGGAAGGTCCTGGCGCCCGGGACAAAGCCACACCAGACGGCGGAGAGCTGGGCTCCGTTCGGCCTGGCCGGCTTCAAGAAAGGGCCCTTTCAGACACTTTAGGGAGAAGCCGCGACCCGAGCGCATCGCGTTGACATTGCCTGCCTGTAAAACCCGGAGACGTGACCACTTTTCCCCATGCTGCAGCAGTTAGCCGTACCTTGCCCGTCTCCCAGCCCGCCGCCACGGCACTCCTTTCTTTTTGCCTCCACCCTTTGGTGGCCTAGTGGGTTACCCACCGGCCGGCCGCGGAGGAAGGTGAGGCTGGCTGCTGCTGAGAGGATGTACAGCCTCGGAAACAGGGACAGTTCTGCGCTGTCGTGCGTCCAAATGGGAGTCGGAATGGCAGCGGTTTAAAAAAACACGTTGGTTCCTCCTCAAGCAATTACAAGTATTAAGACAGCGGTTCCCAACCTGTGGGTCGGGACTCCTTTGGGGGTCGAACGACCCTTTCACAGGGGTCGCCCAATTCATAACAGTAGCCACATGACAGTGATGAAGTAGCATCGAAAATAATGTTATGGTGGGGGGCTCACCACCACATGAGGAACTGTATGAAAGGGTCGAGGCATGAGGAAGGTTGAGAACCACTGGTCTAAGACCTATCTTTTTTCTTCCTTTAAGACTCAATAATAGATAGTAAGCCGTTCTACTTATCTGTACCTTCAACCCCATATTTCTGAGTCATGTCCAGGCCTACTTTTACTTTAGAGGTTTGGAAGAAAGAGGAGCAGAACTCGGCAACAGTTAGATAAATTAAAGGATAAAAGTGTGGAGAAGGTGCAGAAGACAGATAGGATTCAAGAAAAACTTGGGAATTTGAGATAAAGGAGCAAGCTTCATTTCCGACTGTTGTTCTAATAACACCTTTCCATCCTGTCTGCCACAGACATGGCAACATCACTGTTCCTTGTTTAAAAAGCTGGATGTACTCTGAGCCATTCTCTAGCTATCGATAAATGAATTCGTTGGTCCCCAAGGGGCCTACCTTGCCCCACCTGTTTAAAAAAAAGAAAGGATAATAGCATTGGTGATGTCAGGCCTACGAGTTAGAAAATCCTATGTATGTGAGTGAAATAAGCAACATTTAGTTGAAATAGGAACTACCAGTACGGACAACTAGCCCACAAGCTCTTTGAGTGGAGAAACTGTCGATAAGATGTTGCAACTTTCCGCATAGTATCCTTGACAATGTCTTACATGTAAATATCTGATGTTTGGTTGTGCTTTTAAAAGACAGGGGTTTAGCTAGATGATGAAAATTATAGTTAGGCCTCAATGCCTTCATCTACTAGTGGTGTGACCTTGGCTAACTTATTTAGCCTCTGTGCCAATATGAATTTAATACTTGACACCCCACCCCATGGAGTTGATTCTGACTCCTAGCCACCCTTTATAATCCTATAACGTTTATAGGATTTCTGAGGCTGTAAATTTTTATAGGAGCCTCTTCTTTCTTCCTCAGAGCAGCAGCTGAGTTTGAACTGTCGACTTTGTGCTTAGCAGGCCACAGCTTATGCATCACTGACACCAAAACTAAAAAACAAAGCGGACAAAAATAAAACTCACTGCCATTGAGTCGATGCCACCTCATAGCGACCCAATAGGACATGGTAGAACTGCTCCTGTGAGGTTCCAGGGCTGTAACTGTTTACAGTTGTAGCAAGTCTTTCTCCCTTGGAGGGGGTGGTGGTCTTCAACTGCTAACCTTGTAGTTAGTGGCCCAATGCATAACTACTAGCCAACCAGGGATCCCTACCATTGACACCAGGGCTCCTTAACTAGGTGGTTGTATTAGATTGTTAATACATTTGGAGTACTTAGAATAGAGACTGACACATTGTAAACATGGCAGATCAATAAAGGCTGGCGAAAGATAGTTATAAGAATCATCATTAAAATCCTCACACACCCCCATGCAAATCTGAGCAATTGTGTCAACTCTGAAACCAGGGTGACCAGAAATGAGCAGCTTCTGAAATTGTTCTCCTTAGAACCAGTAGTTACGTCAAAGGATCTTGCACCCTACAAAGGATCAGGACTCAGGAGCAGAGGGGCTCTTCTGCATATTCGTATTCACCTTGGACTCCTAGTGGCAATGTTGCTTCTCTCGACTAATTAGGGTCATAACAACAAAATTAGCAGTGATTAAATGGGTCTCACCACCTAGCTGGAGTCTGAATTGATATATGGAGAAATAGTTGTATCTCAGCAGAATTCAAGCAAATTATTACATCAAGAATCTAATCATTGGACTGAAACTCTGCAGCAAACTAAAAATTCCCTCCTGATTAGTGGGTCCTGATAAATGAGCTGTGCTCTGGGAACCTCACCTGTAGTGGGAGACGCTGGGGAGATCAGAATGGCTGGGGACTTTGTGCCCAGTGTACCCAAGGTCCCTCTCCACTATCTCTTTCACCACAGCCCTGCTGCCTTCTTCACCCACGGAAAACAGCCTTTCATAACGTGATTCTCCTTGTTCCCCTAGTTGGGGAGCGCATGAGCTTTCTTAAAGCGTGAGGGTGGAAACACTTAGGCACAGTCTGGGAGTCTAGTTGTAATCTCTCTTGAATTTCTACTTGCTCAAAGGCCTCTTTGTCCACAGACTCTATCCCCTCTCAAACCCTCCCTCCCTTCCCATCTGTGAAATTATTCCACAGGCCTAGAACCTTTTCTGTTCTAAGTCTCACACCCTTCGCTCCCCTCCCTGCTTGTTAAATTGAACACACAGAGAGGAGACCTCCAAAACGTTTCCTTTTCTTCCAAAAGATCCTTTCTGGATTCTGTATTTGCGTGGCGTGTGTATTCTCTGGCTCCTTCTTTACTGCTTTCTTTTTCATTTATGCACTTAGATTCTCCACCCCCCAAACATGGCCTGCTCATATATACAGTACAAATGCTTCCTCTCTACTCTTGTAGTGGATTATTGCTCTCATTCTACCACCTGTGTGGCATGTACATATTTGTTCTTCCTCGTGTGTTTGTCTTCGATTGCAGGCCCTTAGAGGTTAGGGCCTCAGTCAGTAGCTCCCCACAGTACCCAGAGCAGTTCTGTGTTATTATTTGAGATGCCTAATGATGGCAATTTCCTTTTCTGCTAACATATGGGCTGGCTAGGACTGTTTTTACCCTCTGCGCCCCCCCTGCCCTCCCCACTGGCTTCACCACCCTACTGCCTCAGTCTCTTCTGAGTCTCTGTAAAGGGCAGTAGCCTCAAACCTTTCCCAAAGCCTCTTCTTCCCAAGCTTGGATTCAGAAGACCCGAATTTCAACCCCAGCGCTCCTTTTGCTATGCGCTGTCAGTCGAGCTGTGAAGCATCTCTGAATTCTAGCCTCCTCATCTGTAAAAGAGGGGTGGCGGTGCTGGTGGTACTGATGTCCTTGATGGGGACAGAGGGTGCTAGCCGCTGAGGAGAGTTTATAAACTGTAAAACCTCTTACAAAGGTCAAGGATCAGTACTGCCTTTGTTACCATCCCAGATCTCATGCTGCTCTTGGTATCAAGAACTCTGGCTTGGTAACAGTTATCACCTAGTTTCCCAAACGGAGTGGATTTAATGTTTCAAATTTGTGTGGGAATCTGATGGACACAAGACTTTGAGAATCAGGCTTTTTGAGTTTCTCATCTCACAAACCTCAAAGACTAAACTCACTGCCAGCGAGTCGATGCCGGCTTACAGCGACCCTATAGGACAGGGTAGAGCGGCCCCTGTGAGTGTCTGAGACTGTAACTCTTTATGGGAGTTGAAAGCCCCATCTTTCTCCTGTGGAGCGGTGGTGGGTTTGAACTGCTGACCTTGCAATTAGCAGCCCAATCTGTAACCATCACCCCACCAAGGCTCCTGGTGTTTCTCATCTGGGCACTATTTCATGAAACCTCCCTTGAGGTGATACATTCTAATCCCTCCGTGCCTCTGTTTCCCCATCGATAAAGTAAACCATAACATTAAAACATTTTTCTCCCATAAAGGTGAAGTCAATGAATTGTGAAATGGACTTATTTTTCATCTTCGTGACAGTATCTCAGTAAAGTGAAGAAGGTCAATCACTGTAGGAGAATACACTCTGACTAAATAGTATTAGCATTTCACTGTATTGGAGTCAAGCAGCTGCTAACAGTCATGTGTTTCGGTTTATTTTTCCCACCCACTCAAGGTTGTTGTGCGGGGAGAGAATGAATGTCAGTGACATGATTGGGGATCCCCAGAGTAAAGGTTAAGTGAGTCCAAAGCAGAAGTAACTTTACCCAAAGCAAGAAGAGCCGAGACCTGGCTGTTTACCTACCAGTGACTCGAGGATTCTCCCTGATTCCACGTCCACCGTGGTCCACAAATACCCCCTTCCTCTCACTTCCCCCTTTCTGGTCTTGCTTCCCCCACTCATATCGGCCCAGCAGAGAGGGGAGTGAACAGGATGGGCGCTCAGGGCTGACGTGAGGAAATGACCATGCTATCTGTTTGCTTTTCCTTCTGGGTAGCCTGAGGGAAAGGTTCCTTCAACTTAAGGTTTGACT